CCTGCCACCGCACACAAAACCATAATACTTCGAGGCTTCACAGCCATGATCACTCCTCTTTTGTCCAGATGTCTGAATCTTCGAAAGGCTGCTAACGCAAAAGGGTACAGTGGTACGAATAGCGTCGAAGCACAATACTCCCTCATTCCCGGTCCTGTGTGATCACCCAGAGATACAAACACGTGGGCTTTGCACCTGCGACAGTCGATGGGGCCACCTGGCTTTCGTTTTTGCTTCAACAACTTGCCTCGGATCGCAGGTGGATTATCGAGGCTGACCGTTTCTTCTGATTTTGCGTCGGATATGATCGATGGAAGCCTCTGTTCCTGCAGCCCCATGATCGTTCTTGCCGGCCGCGCTTGCGTGTTTGCAACATTCATTCCTCGACAGATTTCTCTGTCAGACCAATAGAGAGAGATCTGACCCCTTTGAAGACGACAATGTGTGAAAAGAATATGGGGTGGCCTAAGATTGTGCCCCACGTCTCCGAATTCTCCTGAAGTGTACCCCTAGTGAAAGGCTTGCCAGCCAGAGTTCCTTGTGGTTGGAGAAATTTCCCCAAGATTCTCACAGCACGAGACTCTTCCCCGACGTAGAGGACAAGATCAGGAAGTGTTTGGTCGGAGGGAAATATGTACACTCCACTTTCATGTTTGTAAGAGCCAGGAACATTGTCGTAATACCTCCTCACAATACAAGACGGAAGACAAATGTCGCTACATGCAGTGTCGACTATACCCGTGAAATTGATTTTTTCCGTATTTCCGTGTATCATATACGACGTAATTGGAAGTCTCCAGAAGTCTTTCTCCTCGGGTTCTGCATCCCAGAACTGAACATCTGTATATTCCTGAGGAATTTCCCCGAATGCATAACGGCCTTTGCGATTGAACCTTAGATCGGCCACGAAGATAGGTTTAGGTAAACTAGCTGCTAGTTTCGCCCAAACAGTTAAATGTGTTGAGATTGCATCATAGCGGGGCATCAATGCGAGTATGCCGTCCAGAAGAGTACTGTGGCCTATACCCCGTTTAGCCACGACGGATGACGCTTGAAAAATCATCTGGTCTCCTTGGGTAGTTTCCCCAAACCCTAGGCTGTCGAGATATACCCTGTCTAGCGTAACCTTCATACCATCTCCGTAGCCTATCCCGTTTTGAATGTCGCTGAATGGAAGATTTGCTTCTGGAGCATATGTGTTGTGGCCGCGAGGATCCAGTCCAGACTTAGGCGGAGCACGGAGCCATGTTATAGAACTGTATGTATCTAGGCTCATACTGAAGGAACCACCGGCGCGGACGTGAAAAAAAGGCCACACTCCGATAGAATTGTCTGTCTGCTGCAGAACAAAAGGTTTCAAACGCCCTGAATCCGGCTTGGAATCGGCCTGCGAATTGGCGACATGTTCCTTGACCATGTTTTCCTCTTGTCCGGCTGGGATACTGAGAGGATCCATCGCGAGAGTTGGTCGAAGGTTCTGGGAAGTTGCACACGAGACGGGGGAGAAAAGTCTCATATAATGTATAGAAGGGCTGAGGTTGGGCAAAGGCCTTCGCCGGCGACTCTGGATTGTAGACCCTTTTACGGCGCTGCAGGCGACCGAATGTGGGCCTGCTTCCTTACTTAGGCGAGAGGTGGCGACCAAGCTCAGGCTTTTTATTGATGTGCTTGGTTTTAGCAACATGCATCTCAATTGCGTGGGAGGCTTGAATAACATTTTTAAAACTTGTACCTCTTAGTAGGCAATACTGTATAGTGTAGTACAATAACATGTAAATGTTTCGTCTGAGGTGTATTTCCTCAATTCGTCCCCCTACTTTCATCCATCCCTCGTGATTGTCGAACCAAACTCAAAGTCCGTCAGCCTTTAAGTCACCAGTATTTCAACTTTAGTATATGACATCGTTGGCGCTGTACTGCTGGACGAGGAGCAATTCGCCAAGTACAAGGACATCAAGATCCTCTGCAAAGCAAGGTAAACATGAGACTTTTGAGTGAATCCTTGCTTATTATTACTTGCTGACTCATTGCGACTACTGCAACAGGCGAAATTGTCCCTCCAACGCGGTAAAAAGTTCTGAGATTCAAGAACGCCCACACCTTCATTTTTGACGAGCACACCAAGTCAGCTTCTATTATTCGACGTCGGTGCGAGAGTTGCATTCAAAGTTCTACGCTTAGACCTCCCGAAGACGCGGATCTGATCCGCCGGGGGGAGGGGGCTGTCGGACATGAAGCTGGTGGTTGCCAGTGTAAGAACGGAAGACATCGTCTCCACAAGAGTACTGCTGGCCATAGTGCGAGTCAC